CCCCCTCCCTCTTCTTCATTTCAATACTCAATACTCATTTCTCATTCTAAATTTCTCTCAATCTCTCAATCTCCAATTTTCAAGACTTCAAGTCTCAATCTTAATTTTCAAGTTGCATCATGCCTCGTTCGGAAAGAGTGCGCTTATTTATTTCGCAGTACTATGAAGTGGTTGAAGAAAATGAAGAAGGCCAAAAATTAAAGTGCAAGAACTGTGGAAGAGTCTTAAATTTTAGTACTGTTCAAACCACAGGCACTTTAAGGAGGCATATAAAGCATTGTGTTGAGGGTATTTATCCAAGAATTCGTCTTTAAGGTTTTTTCAACAATTTGTGTTATTTCAAAATTATTAGACGTATTTATGCTTCATGTTGTACTTTGTTATTAATTTATTATGCATGACAATTTAGTGTTTTACTATTGTTTTGTTATTTTTCTTTTTCGTCAAGCACTTTAATAATTAGATTTCTACATATATACTACATATATATTTTTAATATAGCCATGATACTACAAGAAATTGCCTTAAAAAAACCGCTAGGCCCGCGAAACCCACGAGCTTGGCCCGTTTAGCCCAGGACCATATGGGCTTAGGCCCATCATGGGCCGGTTCCACCCGTTGAGCCCACGAAGCCCGGGACCGCCAGAGCCAAGGCCCACGAAGCCCGACCTGTTTGGCCCACGAAGGCCCGGTCCCGGCCCAGAATACAGTCCTAATTTAGGGTATAAAGAGGGGAAAGGGTTAATGAGTCAATGTTCTGGGCCTTTAAAATGGACTAGGGATTTAAATCAAATGGGATGTTCCAAGCTGGCCAAGTCCGATTTTGAGCTACAAAATGGCCCTTTTGCCTTTCTTTGTTTTTTTTTTGATTTTAAAATCCAATTAATTAAAGTCCTAAAATTAAAAATCCTAAATTATCCAAAAGTGTGAAATTAACGTAATTAGCTAATTATAAAAATTATAAACAACACTTAATTCTAAATTAAAAGAGATAAATCAATAAGCTAAAAATTAAAAGACAAAAATGTAAAAATGAGGTATTTTTTGTGATTTTCGAATTTCTATAAAACAAATAATTACCGGTTAATTCTAAAAATGTAAAAACACATTCTAAATGCAATGCATGATATTTTGGTATTTTTCATGATTTAAATAAAATAAACATGCATAGATAAATGCAAACAATTAACAAAAAAATGCTACAAAATCCACGAAATCGCAAACAATGGAAAAAAAATTTACTTTGTTTGAATTTATGGGAATAATTCATATAGGGCAAAAATCACGTGCTCACAGTTAGCATATCAATCTTTGATTGCTTCACTTGAGACGAACCTTCATGAGCATACTAGAGGGTATCCCATATAGATTTTGCATCTCTGCATGCTGAGATCCTGTTGTATTCATTTGGACCAATACCACATATCAGAATCTTCTTGGCTTTAACATTCTCTTGAACTCCTTTGACATCCTCTTCTAAATATTTTTCTCCTGGCTTTGGTCTAATGGGAATACCTTTGTCATTAACAAGCATAGGAATATTTGGTCCATTTTCAAAAATATCCCAAAGCTCCAGGTCTTCTCTTCCAAGAAATCACGCTTCATTTCCTTCCACCAACAGTAATATTTTTTATGAAACAGTGCTGGCTTGACAATTGATTATCCTTCTTGAGCATCTGGTGGTGCAGCCATTGTAGATTCTTTCAAGGTATTAGCCTCTTATGAAAGAACTTGTTCTGCTACCAATTGTTATTTTATGATACACCTAGATACAAGAAGGATGGTTGAATTGTGTCTTACCCAATTTTCACGATTTCGAAGAACCTGGTTCTTTGAAATATGCAAATAGACACAAATAGAAATAATTGCGAAAATTTAACCAACACAGAGATTTTTACGTGGAAAACCTTCTTGCTCAAGGGAAAAAAAACCATGATCTACCTAGTATGATTTTCCTCATAACTCAACTAAACTTCAAAGAATAGTTTTAGGTTACAACTCTATAACCAAAGGAACTAACTCAAGTACCCAAACCCCTACAATCAACTCAATTTTAGCAACCCCTTCCCAAACTAACTCTAGTGTAGGAAGCTAACAAAAACTCAAGGTTTCTGTATTAGCCTATTGATTACACTTCCCAAAAGTAAATAGGTTACATTTTAAAACACCTTGACTCAACCTAACAATTAAAGAACTTGAACAGCTATTCAAGAACTGGTTCTTCGGTCGATCAGCTTGAGTCTCCAGATGTATCTTCTTGTTGTAATTGCTATTGTCAGAAGTAATTCTATGTGATTTCTCTCAATAGCAGTAGTCTTGAACCGCTGCAAAAAGTCTCCTTTTATATTTACAAAGTTGGCTGAAACTCTTCTTCAATTATGCTCCAAAACCTAGAATATTTCGGTTAAGGAAAACCTCTCCTATTTAGATTTGGTTTCCTTATTTGCTTCCAACTCTACAACCTTCTCTTTCCACGCAAGTTTTTTCCTTAATTACAAAATCTTTTAGACCACGAACTCCTTCAGTTTACATATTCCTTTTAGGGAACAGGTAGGACTTTCAGAGGAATCCAACTTGTGCAAACATTCTGACATTCGGGTCTGAATAGCATTCTGCTTTTGGTCTGCTACGAACCTGCTTCATCTCTCATCTGCATCCAAGCTTAGTAGCAACCTAGAACACGAAACTTGGTTCTCTGCTCTGGTTTGTTAATCATCAAAATATAACTTACACAACTAAACAGTTAGCAAAAAGTGTTGAATATTTATGAATGTCAGTGGATCAAATTATCAGTGACTTAGGGTGTATTTGGTATAGAGGAAATTATTTTAGAGGAAAAATGACTTCCCTGGCAAAAATAGGGAAAACAAAGTTCGAAACTCCCCAACCATGTTTTCAACCCTCCCACGTCCTCATTCCCTCACCCCACCCACCTTGCCACCTCCACAAACTGGACCAACCCTCTGCCGCCCTACCTTCCGGCAAATCCAACATCCCACCCTACCCCCACACACCACCACCCCATCCACCACTCCTCAACCTCGGCCACCATCCTTACCCCCTATCACCCAAATGTCACACCTTCCCCGATCCCCACCCCCAACCACATCGACCCAAACCCACATACCAACTCCAACATCAAACCCCGACCTTCCCATTTCCTCCCTCGACTCCGACCTCGGTTCGACCCTGACCCTCGACACATGACTGACCCCGACCCTTCGACCTCTCCACCCTCGGCTCCCGACCATGCACCTACCCACCCCGTCAACCATAGTATTTGCTCTTGGAATAATATTTTTTGCTTACTAGTCAGATACTAGAAGATCACTTATTTTCCAGGAAAATATTTTCCATAGAAAACATGTTCCTTCATGCCAAACACAAAAACATGTTCCTTCATGCCAAACACCCCCTTAGATTGATATTTTGAGTCTATTTTACTATGCAACAGCCTATCACAGCCAGCAACTATATGTTTTACTTATTTGTTTTGTTTAATTTCAGGAAGATATCTTTTCAGACCAATGAGAAGGCCTAACTCAGATTGATATGTGAAACTATCATGTTTTGGTGCGTAAAGTTCCAGCGGAACAATAATCACCTCTTACATGATGTTGGCTTCCATACTTCCTAGTCCCATTGAAGATATTAAGTATGGCCTGTGTATTGCATTGATTCACGACAAAAATTTGTAGAAAAATAAAACTCAAAGATGTTTTAGTAGAATTTGGTGATTTGAGTAGAAAGTAAAAATAAACTAAAATTGTTGGCAAAGAAATACGACCGAAAGCTGAGAAGAATATGTAGATTTTTTACTTCTGCAGGAAGAGTTTTTTTGTGGAAATTAAAGGGAAAAAAAACTTGATAAAGCACTACATATTATCATTTTTTTAAGCAGTGAACTGCACTACAAGTTATCATGAAGGAGATAAGAAAAGGACATACAAATGATATCTTAGCACTATCTAATCAGTGGTCTTTGATATTGAGGAAGAAGGAACAGAGAAAATGTGTCCTATCTGATATGGAATTAGGGGATCCGTCATCCGAGGAGTGTGAGGAACAGTTCCCATCGCTGGCTGCCTCTCTCTGTAAGATGCCCAAGTTACTAAATAAAGCCCAGCTATAATGAGAAGTCCTCCTAAAATGCTGCAATCACAAAGCGGGGGGGTATATCTTCAGACTTGAGGCTAACGACGAACAACTAGAAATGGACTATAAGGAAAAGATCATACGAGCGGCACAAATGTTCAGCAAGTGGAATATTGCATAGTTTCACAAGAAAAAATCTCCCAAAAAAAAGCAAGTCAATAAAGGAAACATGGCAATTTTCCAGCAGGAGAATTTCGCAGCACCCTCACACCATTTTGGTCCTCATTGTGCCAAAACGACTATAAAACAAAGAAATGAGAACATAAGACAGATATAAAAGTGGATATTCAATATATCAGAGCACTAACCTTCCCAGATAAATAGGGCTCCCGAGAAAAATGCTAGATAGAATTGCTGAAGCAGCAGGTTGAAGCGGATTGTATAAAGCAACTAAAGCAGGGCCAAGAATCTTATTGCACCATGTCATAAGTCCATAGTTCAGGGCTGATGCAACAATTCCCTGAAAAACACTAACCATTGTGAAGATACTATTTTCATTTCACCCAACTAGAAACATTGTCGGTCTACATATTAACCATATGGCATGAGATGCTATAGACAGATGAATGAGAATCCACTATGCAACATTAAAAATTATATTTAATAAATGATGCATTGACGATTGCAAAATGAAAGAGCAACGCAGGGGAAGGAAGTATGAAGAGCATTGATGTGTCAACTGCTTAGGTACATGTTAAATCATCTAGGTACTGGTGATCGGCTAGAAACAGTGTTTTTAAAAGTGAAAAAAAGCAAATAAGCAACAAGGTCCATGGGGCTTGAAGCAAAAAGTGAGAAGTGAAGCGCATAATTTACGAGAAATTTCAAAATATCAAACATCTATGAATTTAATAAAATGAAAACTAAATTGCAATTAAAATATCAAATTTAGTATCCAACATACAATAATCCTGATATTAATTAAGGACTCAAAGTTGAGATTCAAAGAAGGGACTGATCCTTGTTGGAGTCACTTTGTGCACTATTATTTGAAGCACAAATTTCTCTAAAGCGTATGGCTTCACCCCTGAAGCGATAAATCCTCGTTTCGCGTCACTCATCGCTTTTAAGTGACAAAGCGATGACTTCCAATGATACTGGCTAGAATACCTCAAGGCGCCCCATTTTACTGTGAATGTGAAAGGAAGATCAACGAAGTGGGTTAAGAACCTTGAGGTCTCAAGTTCAAATCCCACTGGAGGCAAAAAACACTAGGTAGTAATTTATTCACATCTGTCCAAGCCTTGTTGGACAGAGTTACCTAGTACTTGTTGCTGGTAGGAGGTAGCAGGTATCCCGTAGAATTAGTCGAGGTGCGTGCAAGCTGGCCCGGACACTTCGGTTATCAAAAAAATATGCTCATAATAAGAAGTTCCATTTAAACAGAAAGTGTATAAAAGGGTCTTCCGTACTCCCATAATTAGCATATTTCGTATCTTATAAAAAGAAGCACTGCAAGTCAGACATGAAGAGGATACTAAAGAGAATCTTACAGCATAGCACACAGCGAAAACTTCAGATTTTGTCAAATACCAGTCTGTTGATCCATTGGTCATAAAGAATGATGTGCCTATCATCAATAGAACGCCAAAAAAGTATGAATATGCTGTCAATGATAAGCCTGCAGGGTATTTTGCCAAAAGTGGAGCCTGCAAAAATTTCATAAGCCACTCAACTCTGCATACATTTCATAGCAGTACAAACACATACACCGACAAACTCAAGGATTTTCCAGAACGTTTCAAGCTAGCCCAAGATGTTACTGGGTTGTTGTTGTTGTTGTTTAATCAGTCTTTTAAAACATTGATTCTGTTAACTGGAATTGGTATCTGGCTATTGTTCAATAAAGTCATCTTTCTAAATCAATTATAAAAGGTGTCCAACATAAGCCAGATGGATGCAAATTAATCTACTTCAGATGAATAGCAATTGATAGATAAAAGTTCACAAGAGAAGAAAACAACTACGAGAAAGATATCATGAATCTGAAAGTGATAACTTTTAACATGGAAATGGTAAAGTGATAACTTTTACGTAGCAATATTTTTTTTTTCAAAGACTGTACATTAAACTTTTTTATCAGGCTTTAATCAATTGTAAACATTCACCCACACTAATTTAAAATTTTCAAAGACCCCCTGCAAATGCTAATGCATCACAGGCCACTCAACCAAAGCATGCCAAAATCACCTTCATTAGCATGTTATTAGAGAAGGAGGTCCATCGTGAAAGATCCTATATACAATGGAAGATTGGGGGTTAACTTTTTCAACCGATGCCTAGACACATATATTTTATATATGTGCATAGCCTTTCAGTTTAATCATTGGGAACGGCCTCTGCTATTTATTCCAATCAAGTAGATCTGAATTAGCAATTGAAATGATTATCTAGTTACCTGAATAGCTAAGTATGCTGCCATGCACATACAGTTTCCTATTAAGCATAAGACGCCGAGGTGCCAATTATCAAATCCCAGCTCCAGAAAACTAGACATTGGCCATCCAGCAGGCTCGGGTTGACCCTTAGCACTTATCTCAATGTGGGCTGTGAAGTCTGATGTGCCATCTCCAAATACCACTGGACCACGGAATACAGCCATTAAAATCGCCCCAGAAACACAAACAATGGTACCTCCAACCTTTCCCTGACCTTCGACAGTAAGAAGCTTCACTGTTTCTGTACTGCATAAATAACACATACAAATAATGTTGAGCAGGTCAACAGCTGCAACAGATAAGTTATGTGACAATACCAGAAATGCACGAATTGAAGACAAATAACAGGTAAAGAAAGGAAGCCATTATATGGACAAGAAACTGAGACTAGAAAAGGAACGAACCCACTACCACCAGCCAAGGCTTTATGGCTTCCATTTGGGAACTTGCTGTTTTAGATAATAGAAAGATCAATGTTCCAAGTAAATAGCACCAATAGAAATACAGAAGGTTACTTCATTAGCACCCTCCTATGACATATGAAATGTAAAAGCCACTGATGCATAGTTGTTCTTCTCATAGTACCCCAAAATGATAAGTAGTTGCTTATTTAAGTTTCTTCAAGGAGAACGTAATTAATTTATACAGAGCTAGCTTCTTTGTTTTTAAAGCAGCTAAGGCAGTAGGGTTCAGCATTCCCTTTCAACAAAATTATCTAGACCATTCCCTATCGGAGATTCTGAAGTCTCTAACATCCAATCCTCACTAAACATTTATACATAATCAAAATGCTCCTGAACTATAAGACATTTAACTTCATCGCCATATATTTGTGATATAATCAAGCAATGAATGGAGCAGAACGATGTCGTTTTGGGGCTATGCCTTTGCTGACCATTACTCCAATGGAGCTTGCTTGAGGATTCAATCCTCTTTAGTAAATTAGATGCTTTCTTTGATTCCATAATTGAACGTATTTGGTTCCTTTTACCATATGACATATTAAAATCAAGTTTGTCTCTAATTCAAATCTTCTTCTACTCCTATCTATTTTTATCTTGTGTCTGTGTTTGCTTCAAGCTATCACTTCTCTATGTCTCATCTATATTGTGCCATTTTTTATCCTCTCGGCAGGAGTGTTTCTGCAATTTACTTAGAAGGTCCAACTCTCCAAGATAGTGACTGAGATTTATCTCGGTGTTGCATGTATCAATTTGGAGGATAAAGATTCTCGAATTGACTGTAATTATTCTCATTCTATGCACAAAAATAAAGTACTTGTGAATTGTGATTGCTCCAAGCCTCCAATTTAAAGCAACAAAACAATTTTGGTATTAAGAATACAACATCTGGACCATCAAGGAAGCCTATATTAGCTGGATTTTTTGGAGAGTTGACAAAGCCATCAAAAGAATATGGAGAATGATCCCAGCAGTCATATTTTGGATTGTTTGGAAGGAAAGAAATGGCAGATGTTTTGATGGAATATCAACTCCAACACATTCCCTAAAAGCTAGATGTTTAGTTAGTTTGTTCAGTTGGAACTTTCTTTCCCCTGTTAATAGCGTTGACACTTTTTGGGATTTTGTTAGCTCCCTGGTTCTAGCATAGGCACTCTTGAGCTTACAATGTTTTTTGTCTTTTGTACGGGAGCTAACATAATTTCTGTTCTTGTAATTTGGCATCTTCCAGATGTCCTTTCAATGATATTATCTTACTTCATCAAAAAAAAAAGAATACAACATCTGATACTTGATAGCACTATGATCTTTCACATCTCACAAAGTTAAGAAACACAACATAACTTATCAAAAAAGGTTTAAGCAACACAAGATTCCCTCAACACCTAGGACATGCAAGAATTCTGAGTGATGGAAACAAAGAAACAAAATAGAGAGATGAAGGAAGGTTGATGTCTACTGACCCCATGAGCACAGCAAATATGAACGTAAAGACTGGTATTGCAGGTTGCAAAGCAGCAGCATAAGTCGGATTCGTGTAGCCAAGACCAACAAGGAACAAAAGTTGGTTACCAAAAATACTGTCTCAGTGCCAAAAGAGAAAAAGGGCTTCTTCAGGAATAGGCTTTAATTGAGTGTAACAAAACTAAGGAAATTAACAAAACAAATCCAAATATACACGCTTAGCACATCAAAACTTACCCAGTTAAACCTAGAATGAAGAATGACAGTAGAAGCCATTTATTCAGAGGAGGCCTCGACCTCCTATACATAGAGAAACATAACACGTAAATTTGTTAGTGATGCTATTATAATTGCAGATATCATAACTAACCTTTTGAAAGAGCTTATACAAAAGAACATGTGTGTGTGTGTCTATGTATATAACACAAAGGATATCTGATGAAAGAATGAGAGGAAAAATTTGTTATGTTTGTCAAGCGAACTGCCATACAGTGATGTAGTAACAGACTGAAAACATATAACATACTATAAAAAGCAGGACCCTCAGTTTGAACTACTATACCCGCTTGTCAATAGTAATGCTCTTTCATTTTTTGGGCAAACCCAACCCACACATCATCATTAGAACGCTAGACATTCGATTCTAATGGTATCTAATTAGCCTAACTATTAGTCTGTTACGAGGTTTCACACTCAAATCTCCAATTGGAGAACATAAAAAAAAAATAATTTTTGGTCTTTGCTTCAATTATTGTGGACTAACAAGTAGTTAATAAAACAAATATTTCAATCAACCACCTACTCATAAAACAATTGGGGTCGTCTATATGAACCCTCTGTGTCCATTTCACTCTATTCGAGCCCATTTCCTTCCAATACTGGAAAACAATTTGATTCTTCAAAAAGGAAATAAGGATTCTCTAAAACTACAGGTTCTCTAAATGTCCTATTTATTCCTATATTGACAGTAACATAAAATAATTAACAAACCAAAAGAATTCTTGGCAAACATTCCATTGATTCCACTAAAATGTCTATTCTTTACGGTAACAGCAATAGCTAAGCCTTGATTTCAAATAGTTGGTTTCACCTATTATGTTCTATCCTTAGTAAAATTCCATTGATTCCACGAAAATGTCTATTCTTTACGGTAATTTCGTGTGCTTTAGGTCTACATTGTCCCATTTTAGAACATTCAATTATTATAGCATGAGTGTTGCACCTACTAGTATGTTTCGACTTTCGAGGTCTATGGTCAAGAAAACCTTCTCTCAAGATGTAGCTACTTTCAAACTTTGTCTAATGTGGTCATTTCTAATCTTGTCCAATTTATATGACCACACTTATATCTCAACATCTATATTTCTGCCACATAAATCATGGATATTTAGGCCTTAGAGATTCAAACTTGCCTTTTACATTATTCAGCCCCTTGCTATCGCATAACATTCTTCTAAAACTCCTCCATTTCCACCCTCGTACTTCAATTTTATGCATCACATCTTCATCTATCATGTCATTCTCTTGAGAAACTAAACCTTCTTATATAAATTGTCTGCATTTAGACACCCTAATGCCATCGAATCTTACTTCACTTCATTCTTCCCGGAGTGTTAAATCTACAGTCATATTATGCCTTACTATTACTAAATCCTAAAACTCTTATTCCCTAGAGTGCTTCTCCTTGACTTAATAACTTTTGGTTGACTCGTATTAAATTCGTCAATTAACAAAATATCATCTGCAGATAGTACATATCATGAAACTTCATCTTGGATATAATTGGTAACTCAACTAGGTTAGCAAGTAGGACATCAATGCAAATCCCCGATGTAACCCATAGTTATGGCCTTATAGGAAGAGTTATTAGTATCTCCTACTATTTACACTTGTGACTACTCCCTCGTCCCTCGTACATGTCCATTGTGGATTTATATATTTGATATGCAGTCCTTTCCTTTCTTCACAAGTATCCACCAAGGATGTTCTTTTAACAAAGTAAAGGGAACCCACTAAGGACTTTTCTTAGTAATCTATCATATATTTTCTCTAGGTCAATAAATGTCATGAGGAGATCCTTCTTCCTCTCCCTATACTTCATTCATCTCTTCAGGAAAGAAATAGTTTCTATTAATTAGATCCAATAAGCATAAATTCAACTGGTTCTGTTAATTGTTATATAGTCACTAAGTCTATGATCTAACATCTTTTTCCAATGTTCCATTACATTACTCATAAGTTTAATACCATGATACTTCGAACAACTTTGAATATAATCTATGTGTGTATATGTATGTGCTTGTGTAGGCATCCTCTCAATCCTTCATAATATTGAATAGTTTGATCAGTCATATTGCTCCAACCTCTTCAAAGTTCCAAACCTCTATAAGGATACAATATGCACCACAGAATTTTCTAACCCTTGCGATTTGTATTGAGCAATTGATGCCATCTCCTTTCAAACTTACTTGGATCGTGCTTAATTGTATATAGGGTGAAAAGTAGCATAGAAGGGCAGAAAACAAATTAACAGTAACCACTTGATGTACTTTCAAGGTTTTGCACCTCTCAAGTACAAAGAAGAGAGAAAAACAAAAGCACCCCGCTAAAGTTTTTCACAAAACTAGCGAAAGCGTTCTTCAAACTCACGTTAGAAGAATGTAAGATGGAAAGAAACCTCACCCACACGTTCCCCAATCCCGCAAGATTGCAAGAAGAATTGAATAAAGGAAGAACAATGAAATATAAAATAAATCACGTTTTTGAAGCAATAGCTTAGAAAAACTAATCACCAATGTTTATTTTCAGCATATTAAGCCCTTTAAATAGGCCTTACAATGAGTAAAATTGGTAAGGTTAAGGAAAACTAATCCTAATTAGACTAGAATAAGAATAAGGCTAAGAAAATCTATCCTAACTAAAATAGGAAAAAGAATTCTAGTAGGAATGGGATACCAACTAACAATCCTAGTTTGACTAGAACTACAAATATAACCCTACTAAAACAAAAATTAAATTCCTAGGAAACAAGAAATAAGAAATCCCAATCTTTAAGGAAAAGAAATCCTAATCTTGAATGGATTCTTAGACTTCTTCAATTTCTTGAAATTCTTGGGCCTCAATTGGACTAAGGCTAATTAGTGTAAGCATTTTAAATTCATGGCCCAATTCTCTAAATTCATTGGCACCTTCATGAGCCCAACAAGCCTCCATTGTTGTAGAAAACATGGCCTCTATATGTTCATCATTCTCCCCTGGTTGAAAAGGACTCGCCCTCGAGTCATCAGAATAGTAGGGAGCAAGATCTGCTACATTAAAGATAGGTGATATTTCAAAGTCATTGGGAAGCTCCAAGCGATAAGCATTATTACCAATCTTTTGCAGTACCTTAAAAGGTCCATCAGCTCGCTTCTGTAATTTCGAAAACTTGCGGTTGGGAAATCTCTCATTGCTCAAATGAACCCAAACTAGGTCGCCTTCCTTGAACACCACATGTTTCCTACGTGTATCAGCCTTTTCTTTATATTTAGCATTTTGCTTCTCGATATGTGCCCAAACTTTCTCATGTAGTTTCTTAAGTTGCTTTACTCGATTAGCAGCATCTCCACTAAAAGAATGAGTAACCAGAAGAGGGGAAAGATCAAGCGGTCCAAGAGGATTCTTACCATAAACAACTTCGAATGGACTCCTTCCCGTAGTGCGGTTGGTTGACTTGTTGAAGGCAAATTCAGCAGTAGGAAGTAACGATTCCCACTCTTTGAGATTCTTCTTTATTAACCCACGAAGCAAAGCACCTAAACTTCGATTGACAACTTCGGTTTGCCCATCAGTTTGGGGATGATGAGAAGTGCTAGGTGTTAGCTTAGTACCAAGTTTAGCCCATAAAGTCCTCCAAAAATGGCCTAGGAACTTCGAATCCCTATCTGAAACAATAGTTCTGGGAATTCCGTGCAATTTTACAATATGATCAAAGAAGAGATCGGCAATATTTGTTGCATCCGAAGTCTTATTGCAAGGAATAAAGTGAGCCATCTTCGATAATCGATCGACAACCACGAAGATGGAATCCTTACCTCTTTGAGTCCTCGGAAGGCCCAACACAAAGTCCATGCTAATATCTTCCCAAGGTTGAGTAGGAATTGGCAAAGGAGTGTAAAGACCCGAATTGCTTTTGTGCATTTTTGCCTTTATGCAAGTTTCATATCTTGCAACCA